TCCGCTGGTGTACAGCAATCTTTAAGTCATACCACAGATTCTCAATTGGATTGAGGTCTGCGCTTTGACTAGGCCATTCCAAGACATTTCAATGTTTCCCCTTAAATCACTCAAGTGTTGCTTTAGCAGTATGCTTAGGGTCATTGTCCTGCTGGAAGGTGAACCTCCGTCCCAGTCTCAAATCTCTGGAAGACTGAAACAGGTTTCCCTCAAGAATTTCCCTGTATTTAGCGCCATCCATCATTCCTTCAATTCTGACCAGTTTCCCAGTCCCTGCCGATGAAAAACATCCCCACAGCATGATGCTGCCACCACCATGCTTAACTGTGGGGATGGTGTTCTCGGGGTGATGAGAGGTGTTGGGTTTGCGTCAGATATAGCGTTTTTCTTGATTGCCAAAAAGCTAAATTTTTGTCTCATCTGACCAGATTACTTTCTTCCATATGTTTGGGGAGTCTCCCACATGCCTTTTGGCGAACACCAAACGTGTTTGCTTATTTTGTTCTTTAAGCAATGGCTTTTTTTCTGGCCACTCTTCCATAAAGCCCAGCTCTGTGGAGTGTACGGCTTAAAGTGGTCCTATGGACAGATACTCCAATCTCCGCTGTGGAGCTTTGCAGCTCCTTCAGGGTTATCGTTGGTCTCTGTTGCCTCTCTGATTAATGCCTTCTTTGTCTGGTCCATGAGTTTTGGTGGGCGGCCCTCTCTTGGCAGGTTTGTTGTGGTGCCATATTCTTTCCATTTTTTAAATAATGGATTTAATGGTGCTCCGTGGGATGTTCAAAGTTTCGGATATTTTTTTATAACCCAACCCTGATCTGTACTTCTCCACAACATTGTCCCTGACCTGTTTGGAGAGCTCCTTGGTCTTCATGGTGCCGCTTGCTTGGTGGTGCCCCTTGCTTAGTGGTGTTGCAGACTCTGGGGCCTTTCAGAACAGGTGTATATATACACTGAGATCATGTGACAGATCATGTGACACTTAGATTGCACACAGGTGGACTTCATTTAACTAAATAAACTAAACTTCTGAAGGTAATTGGTTGCACCAGATCTTATTTAGGGGCTTCATAGCAAAGGGGGTGAATACATATGCACGCACCACTTTTCCATTATGTATTTTTTCAAATTTTTTGAAACAAGTTATTTTTTTCATTTCACTTCACCAATTTGGACTATTGTGTGTATGTCCATTACATGAAATCCAAATAAAAATCCATTTAAATTACAGGTTGTAATGCAACAAAATTGGAAAAACGCCAAGGGGGATGAATACTTTTGCAAGGCACTGTAGAAGGCTAATGTTAACTAGTTAACGTTGCCCATGAATGGAAGTTAGGCTAGCGAGCAAGCATTTTAGCCAGGTAGCCTAGGACAACAAAAAATGTAAGTGTGTACTGTATGACAGTGATAGACCGTTTCGTCAACATGAAAGGGGATGGCATTGGCAATTCTCTACAAGTAGGGTGAGTCATCATGTTTTTCTACTTGCACGAACGCGCACACACTTACACACACACAGAAATCAGAACCATGGACAGCCACATCATATTTAGCTTACGTTCATTGGCCTAAATTGTTTTTTATATCTTTTAATTGTTACTGTATTAGACTAAGCAGAGGTGATTTAGGGATGTTGAAATGTTGAAGTTGAAAGGGTGCTGGAATAGTGGAGGCAGCTCCTGTTTCTTTGCGACTGTGGTTCTAAATCAAGTTGTTTAGTGGTCCGAAAAATCCGGAAACATTAACTTGCTTGACCATGCTGTAGGTCATGTAACTTTCTGTTACATGCAATATGCTTTGTGGACTAAACCGGACAGAGGTTGATATCCGGTTTTGTGATAAAACAAAGGTGTGGTTGAATTTATTCTTCTTCTTGTCTCGGCATTTAGGCCTACAGTGCATTCGGAAAGTATTCAGAACCCTTGAACTCCTCATCGATCTACACACAATACCCCATAATGACAAAGCAAACAGGATTTTAGAAACGTTTGCAAATGTATAAAAAATAAAAAACTGAAATACCTTACATTAATATTTATACCCTTTGCTATGAAAAATTGAGCTCAGGTGCATCCTGTTTCCATTGATCATCCTTGAGATGTTTCTACAACTTGATTGGAGTCCACCTGTGGTAAAATCAATTGATTGGACATGATTTGGAAAGGCACACACCTGTCTATATAAGGTCCAACAGTTGACAGTGCATGTCAGAGCAAAAACCAAGCCATGAGGTCGAAGGAATTGTCCGTAGAGCTCCGAGACAGGATTATGTCGAGGCACAGATCTAGGTAAGGTACCAACATTTTTTGCAGCATTGAAGGTCCCCAAGAACACAGTGGCCTCCATCATTCTGAAATGGAAGTTTGGAACCACAAAGACTCTTCCTATAGCTAGCCGCCCGGCCAAACTGAGCAATCGGGGGAAAAGGGCCTTGGTCAGGGAGGTGACCATGAACCCGATGGTCATGCTGACAGAGCTCCAGAGTTCCTCTGTGGAGATGGGAGAACCTTCCAGAAGGACAACCATCTCTGCAGGACTCCACCAATCAGGCCTTTATGGTAGAGTAGCCAGACGGAAGCCACTCCTCAGTAAAAGGCACATGACAGCCTGCTTGGAGTTTGCCAAAAGGCACCTAAAGGACTGTCAGACCATGAAACCAAGCTGGAACTCTTTGGCCTGAATGCCAAGCGTCACATCTGGAGGAAACCTGGCACCATCTCTATGGTGAAGCATGGTGGTGGCAGCATCATGCTGTGGGGATGTTTTTCAGCGGCAGGGACTGGGAGACTAGTCAGCATCGAGGGAAAGATGAACGGAGCAAAGTACAGAGAGATCTTTAATGAAAACCTGCTCCAGAGAACTCAGGACCTCAGACTCGGGCAAAGGTTCACCTTCCAACAGGACAACGACCCTAAGCAAACAGCCAAGACAACGCAGGAGTGGCTTCGGGACAAGTCTCTCAATGTCCATGAGTGACCCAGCCAGAGCCCGGACTTGAACCCGATCACACATCTCTGGAGAGACCTGAAAATAGTTGTGCAGCGACACTCCCCATCCAACCTGACAGAGCTTGAGAGGATCTGCCGAGAAGAATGGGAGAAACTCCCCAAATACAGGTGTGCCAAGCTTGTAGCATCATACCCAAGAAGACTCAAGGCTGTAATCACTGCCAAAGGTGCTTCAAAAAAGTACTGAGTAAAGGGTCTGAATACTAATGTAAATATAATATTTCAGTTTATTTTTTGTATAAATTTGCAAAAAAATTCAAAAACCTGTTTTTGCTTTGTCATTATGGGGTATTGTGTATAGATTGATGAGGGGAAAAATCCATTTAATCCATTTTAGAATAAGACTAACATAACAAAATGTGAAAAAGTCAAGTCAAGGGGTCTGAATACTTTCCGAATGCACTGTGTGTGTGTGTGTGTGTATATATATATATATATATATATATATATATATATATACACATACACATGCAATTATAACAACACATAGGTTGTAATATGACTTTTTTTTCTGGCTTCCCCAGTGATTTTACCCATCCACTGCTACTGATGAATACGACCCTGCAGTGTTTTAGTCCTAGAGACCAATCTCTGTCTCAAAACCACATATTGTGTGTCTTGGTCGTGTACATTTTTACTCGGCCTTGACTCGGTCTCGGACAATGAGGACTCCTCATTTCTTCTGGAGACCAGTGGAGTAAAAACCTTAATTATCAGCTCCCATTCAATCAGTCGTAAAACCGCTTTGCTTGGCCAAATATCCACACTCCTTTCATGACACAATATCTTATTGAAACCTGGCCTTCCTACTTTACTCGTAACATTAGGGTCCTTTACTTTCCTTGGAAAATATCCTCAACATTTTGTCTTTATCTATTATAGACCCATTTGGGTTAGGGATCATTGTAGTGGCTCTTTATTTGCCCTCTACATGCATTTTTTCCACCATTCTGAATGTCTAAAGCAGCTCCCGAGTGGCGCAGCGGTCTAAGGCACTGCATCTCGGTGCTTGAGGTGTCACTACAGACCCCCTGGTTCGATTCCAGGCTGTATCACAACCGGCCGTGATTGGGAGTCCCATAGGGCGGCGCACAATTGGCCCAGCGTTGTCCGGGTTTGGCCAGTGTAGGCCGTCATTGTAAATAAGAATTTGTTCTTAACTGACTTGCCTAGTTAAATAAAGGTAAAATGTATTTATATAAAAAAAAATAATAATCTTAAAGTATGTTAAAAAAATAATTTGTAACTCAGTCATGGCATAATAAATTAGCTTTAAAACGGCAAAGATTTCTCTCCACCCAATGGCAAAATGGGTAGAATTGCAGAAATGTGCTTTACAATGTCGATTTTTTTTATCTCTGTCCCATGGCAAAATGAGTAGAATTGCATGAAATTCGTTATAAATTTTTAACATTTTCTCAGCCCCATGGCAAAATGTCTAGACTTGTAAAAACATTTGCTGTAAAACTGGAGCATTTTCTCTCCTCATTTGCAAAATTTGTAGAATTGCAGGAAATTAAGTTTAAAACTTCAATTTCTCTCAGCAGTCAAGCCCCCAAACCAAATCTCGCTTAGGACCCCCAAAAGGGGGCATGTTTTCAAGAGCTTGGGTCCCAGGAAAACAATGAATTTCTCATTTGGGTCCAAGCCTGAAAACGTTTACGAACCCCTGGTCTTCTGAAGTATTGAACATTTTGAACTCTTATTATGGTGGCGATTTGACACAATTACAATCGTGGTCTTGAATTGGACTCGCATTGATCTGGTCTCGGTCTTGAATCAGTCTCGCTTTAGGTGGCCTCAAACACAACACTGTGACCCTGCACTGAAGGCAAACAACTGGACAGTTGAAAGCTACATTCCTAGAGGGTGAATGGGCATCATCCACCACCACCCTTTCACCTATTCCTGTACTATTAGATCAGGATTGATAGGCTAAGAGGAAACCAGGAGAGGAAGCCACATCAGAGTATTAGGATATAGCCCTTAGTCGTCTTCTTCAGCGTAGACCAGCTGGATGTTGACTTTGTCTCTCAGTGCCTCGTTCTCTCTGTACACGTACAGATGGCCATTCGGGGTGGGCCCGGAGCTGCCATCATCCTCTCCGTCTCCCTCCCTCTCTCCTTCCCGCTCCTCCTCCTGGGCCATCAGGTCATTGAAGGAGGCAACACAGATGTCGTGCTCCTGGAGGGAGGCGGGGTAGCGGAGCGCAGACCTCTCGATCCTCACAGAGCGCCTGACGGGGGTGAAGAACCTCAGCTCCTGTCCGTCCACCACGCGGGCCACCGCCAGCTCCCTCTGCTGGCTCCTGAAGCCACTGCGGGTGGGAAAAATCAGAGAGAACAGGTTACAGTACATACAGATGGTGATGATTTGAAATAGCAACTCTGGTCAAAAGTAGTGCACTATATAGGGAATAGGATGCCAACTCGGACAAAGACATCGTGATGGATTTGAATACGGGACATGCACCAACCTGACTACTTGTTGTATGTACTGTATGTAGTGGCTGGGCACAAATATGTGGCATAAAATGAAGCCCTAGTCGGTGTATGTAAACTCCAGGCAGGGCCCAGAAAGGCCAGAGATACAGATACAAGTCTGTGCTTAGGTTAAATTGGCTGTACATCAAAACAAGTTTTAACCTTTAAAATGGCTGACAAGATCATAGAGAGGTCAATTAGGACAACGTCAAACGAGACAGTGAGGCCAGAGGTCATACAGTGAGAGTTCAAACGTACCCTGTAGTGGCGGTGATCTTGTACTTGACCACAGATGATCCTCCTCTGTCACCACGGATCAGGGCTTTGACAGTTGTGGGTGTGGCCGTGGGGTCTGGTGTAGAGTCAGTCTCTTCATCCTTCTTCTCAGCCCCATCTGACGCTACAGGAGACTTACCTGGAAGTAATAGGAATAATAATAATAATAAAGTTGCAGTCAACTCCTGAGAAGTATGCATGCACTCTACTGTAAGTCGCTTTAGATAAAAGTGTCTGCTAAATGGTTCAAGTGCATTGCAGTTTACTAGTCCCAATTCAAATATACTGTAGCCATCCATTGACTTTTTCTGGATATCTGTATGTCCTGACACCCATTGAAAAAGCATTGGCTCCATTCAAAATTCTTGGACAGAAAATCCCAGTGTCCCGACAGCCTTACTGGTAATATGTGTCGCCACTATAATAGGGTTGAATGGCGGGAACATGGTTATCGAGATTTTCAGGCCAAAACCGCTCCCTTTTCGCAGGATAAATAACTGCGAGAAACCAGTAAATTATAATAAATTATTTATATGAACAGCATGGCGTGAAATGGAACTTTTAAATTACATGCAATGTCTAAATCTGGCTTCTCTATGGCCTCTTCATGATGAATCAACGCTTAGGGTGAGGACAGACCCATGTCAGTATGGAGCACAGTTCACAATGCATGTAGACCTATCATCTCATCATGGTTACCTTTTTTTTTGTGACAGGTAGGCCTACATTTGCTGCAGCATAGACTATGCTACAGTAATATAAAGACCGAATGCGCGTCTAATTCACCCAGCTCCATCTGGCTAACTGGGGTCACCTTATTCTTTTTATTGTAAAGATTTAAAATATATATATAATTGCAGCTACAGAGTTTTAAAACAGCCTATCACTCGAATATTGTTCCTTTAAAATCAGTGCACTTTCTGTCTTTCTCTCTCCAACTCCATTCAAATTGCATCCAAAATAGATAATCCTGTTCTAGATCGATATACAGTATGTATGTGATAGAATAATTATTAATGACTAATTATTACACCCTGAAACTGTGTGAAATGTGTTAGAATGTGAGAGTGTAGGACCAGTAAAGACTATGACATTGAGCTCTATTTAGCAATGGGAGTAAGAGTTACACCAGACAACAAAGGACAAGGAGAACTGTCTACAGACAACTGAGAAACCAAGATAAAGAGGCCTCCCAATTTAGGGAGGAGAGAAACGGTTAGGGTTTTTAAGGAGTATGAGGACAGCGATAACTAAGGAATGCATGTGTGTGTATGTACAGTGGGGAGAACAAGTATTTGATAACCTGCAAAATCGGCAGTGTTTCCTACTTACAAAGCATGTAGAGGTCTGTACTTTTTATCATAGGCACACTTCAACTGTGAGAGACGGAATCTAAAACAAAAATCCAGAAAATCACATTGTATGATTTTTAAGTAATTAATTTGCATTTTATTGCATGACGTAAGTATTTGATACATCAGAAAAGCAGAACTTAATATTTGGTACAGAAACCTTTCTTTGCAATTACAAAGATCATACGTTTCCTGTAGGTCTTGACCAGGTTTGCACACACTGCAGCAGGGATTTTGGCCCACTCCTCCATACAGACCTTCTCCAGATCCTTCAGGTTTCGGGGCTGTCGCTGGGCAATACGGACTTTCAGCTCCCTCCAAAGATTTTCTATTGGGTTCAGGTCTGGAGACTGGCTAGGCCACTCCAGGACCTTGAGATGCTTCTTACGGAGCCACTCCTTAGTTGCCCTGGCTGTGTGTTTCGGGTCGTTGTCATGCTGGAAGACCCAGCCACGACCCATCTTCAATGCTCTTACTGAGGGAAGGAGGTTGTTGGCCAAGATCTTGCGATACAAGGCCCCATCCATCCTCCCCTCAATACGGTGCAGTCGTCCTGTCCCCTTTGCAGAAAAGAATCCCCAAAGAATGATGTTTCCACCTCCATGCTTCACGGTTGGGATGGTGTTCTTGGGGTTGTACTCATCCTTCTTCTTCCTCCAAACACGGCGAGTGGAGTTTAGACCAAAAAGCTATATTTTTGTCTCATCAGACCACATGACCTTCTCCCATTCCTCCTCTGGATCATCCAGATGGTCATTGGCAAACTTCAGACGGGCCTGGACATGCGCTGGCTTGAGCAGGGGGACCTTGCGTGCGCTGCAGGATTTTAATCCATGACGGCGTAGTGTGTTACTAATGGTTTTCTTTGAGACTGTGGTCCCAGCTCTCTTCAAGTCATTGACCAGGTCCTGCCGTGTAGTTCTGGGCTGATCCCTCACCTTCCTCATGATCATTGATGCCCCACGAGGTGAGATCTTGCATGGAGCCCCAGACCGAGTGTGATTGACCGTCATCTTGAACTTCTTCCATTTTCTAATAATTGCGCCAACAGTTGTTGCCTTCTCACCAAGCTGCTTGCCTATTGTCCTGTAGCCCATCCCAGCCTTGTGCAGGTCTACAATTTTATCCCTGATGTCCTTACACAGCTCTCTGGTCTTGGCCATTGTGGAGAGGTTGGAGTCTGTTTGATTGAGTGTGTGGACAGGTGTCTTTTATACAGGTAACGAGTTCAAACAGGTGCAGTTAATACAGGTAATGAGTGGAGAACAGGAGGGCTTCTTAAAGAAAAACTAACAGGTCTGTGAGAGCCAGAATTCTTACTGGTTGGTAGGTGATCAAATACTTATGTCATGCAATAAAATGCAAATTAATGACTTAAAAATCATACAATGTGATTTTCTGGATTTTTGTTTTAGATTCTGTCTCTCACAGTTGAAGTGTACCTATGATAAAAATTACAGACCTCTACATGCTTTGTAAGTAGGAAAACCTGCAAAATTGGCAGTGTATCAAATACTTGTTCTCCCCACTGTATGTGTGTGTGTATGCATGCATGTGTGTGTGTGTGTGTGTATGTGTGAATGGATGGTCAGGAGAGCAGTTTTAAAGTGGAAAACTACAGCCCGCCTAAAGAGGGGAGGGATTTTTGTATGACGTGTGAGTATAAAAGATGGATTCTGAAATTGTGATGGCAGAATTCTCAATGAATAAATCTCTGACTATGCAGACCGGGACTCTGTCCGTTTCTTAAATCCAAAAGACGCACAGAGACACTGAAATAGTTTGTTAAATAATTCACGTAACAGCTTGGTCCTTCTGAGCCGGAATCCAATACCTGCCTCTGTCATTCCAGGTAACTCTGAAAACCGTTGACGGGCGAATGATACATTCGTAAATAAAAAGTCCTGCCCTTTGACATTAAGGGTTAAGACAGGCCAGAGGACACCTGATTAATGACAGAGACGGTGACGGAATCCAAACCTACATTGAATCTCGGCTGCAAGGATAAGGTCAGTAGTCTTTATTCATTAATTGGCGCAGTCTGGGATTGCTTAGGGTGGGTCCGTAACGATTCATGGTAATAGGCCATTACCAAAAGAAACTACCCTGCATTCAGAGAACCTGTAGTAGATTATAGAACAGTAAATGTTCAACAAATAATCGGGGATAAAGAAATACAGGGAGGGGTGTGAAGTGAAGAGAGGGTTAATATAATTGAGTACATTTGGACGGTTAAGATCACTAGGAGAGGGAGAACCCATTTCTGTTGTATGAGACTGACGGAATTGTCAACATTACATTTGAGGGGATAAATTCCTCCGTAACGGTATGAGATAATTCTGGGGGACTAGTCAAGACTACATATACAGGAAGGGGTGATTCCAATTGTTGTGTGAAACTGTTTTGAATAACTTGTTATATAGAAGAGGTGGCTAAGGGATTTTTAACAGTACCAGCCATGGGAGGCAAATCCTCACAAGAGGTCCCAGAATTTACTGGGGACGAGAAATACATGGAAATTGGAGACAAACGAAATGTGTATTATGGACCTAATTTGAAAAAAGAAAAAAAAGAAAATGGCTTTACTGGGCGACGATGTAATTAAACTGGAATCCATGATTAAACAAATGCATGTAAATTGTGGTAATGATCTAAATTAAACAGAAAAGAGAGTAATTAAACTAGAGTCCATGATTAAACAAATGCATGTAAATTGTGGTAATGATCTAAAGAAACAGAAAAGAGAGGAACAGGAGGATTCAGAGCTAAGCTCAGGAGGGAGTCCGTCTGAGTCAGGAGATGAGAGAGTAGGAGGGGGCCAGTACCCACTGATAGCCTTACCTAATCTATTGGCAGGGGATGAAGGGGCCCCAGCAACCTTAGATGTTAGAGGGCAGTGGTTAAAAATACTTTGATAGGGTGGAGAATGGCACAGCAACACTGATTGAGGTTTAAAAAGTATGCAGTTTACCAAGAGCAGATTGGGAGAGAAAAAGAGGAGTAAGAGAGACCTTAAGGGAGTGCCAACTCTCGGGGAGATATTTTTTTTTTTTCAGTTCTGCTGGGAGTATATTTGATGATGGGGATTTGTGTTGAATGAGAGGCTAGAGACTTCATAAAATAATAATTGGAATAATAATTATATATTAACTTGCTCACCCAAACGTAGACATACGTCATGGGTGAGACATAATTCATATAATGTTGTGCAAAGCCAATTTAGGGTTTCCATTAAGGAACGTCAATCACTACATTGGATATTAATAATACGGAGATAAATTCAATATATGCTGGTCAACTACGGCATGTGTTTGGTGTTATTTGTAGACTACTTAGAAAGGACAGTTACCTATATCTGCTGTATTCTAAACAATGACAGATTGGGGGTTTCATAAGAGGTGGCTATAATTTTAGTTGAACAGAGGTAATTAGATTTGAGAAATGTTGAAAAGTAATGTTAGATGGAAAGTCAGCAATAGAGGATAGAGATTGTACAGGGTTTCCTGTGTGAAAAAAAAAGTAATAGAAATTGGGTGATGAGAAATGTTGAATTGCATTGTTTAAGCAAGAATGGCATTAAATTCATGCTTTCTAGTTATGTGTATGCAAATATGTTATTTGTTTTTGGTGGTGTGTGGATAGAATTTACAAATGCCAGGATTTAGTAAACGAAGCAGAGAGATGTAGTGAGAGCAGTGGAAGGGATACCCCACCCTAAGACGGGGGTACACCAGTTCAGAAGAGATATGGAAGGGCTGACCACA